GAAAGCAGTCAAAGGAAGGTTTGCGCTTCGGGGGCGCCTGTGATCTCAGCGTCTGGTACGCCAAGGTTTAGGGTTTAAGGAGTTTAGGGTTTAGGGTTTAGGGTATTGAGGGCCATTCTGAGGGCTTCGTGGGCCTTGCTGGGAGCCCCTGAGGAGGGCGCACTGGTGGCCCATAAGTCACCCTACCTGAGGTGTAGGGTTTAGGGTTTAGGGTTTAGGGTTTAGAGTTTAGGGTTTAAGGTTTGGGGTTTAGGGTTTTAAGGTTTGCCGGGAACCCAAGTCCCCCTGAATAGCGGCCTGAGCATACGTGTACACTAACCCCATATAACTCCTAGACCTGAGGGCCTAAACCCTAGGCCCTAAGCCCTACAAACCATAAGCCGTAAACCCTAAACCCTAAACCAAATCCGAAGAGCCCCAACAAGAAAAGCGCCCAGACCCCCCCAGCCTAGGCAAGCAATGCCGGCGATGGCCGCCTGGCGGCCACGAGCGCTGGAGTCCGAGAGAAGCCTCGGATACGCAGGGTTTAGGGTTTAGGGTTTAGGGTTTAGGGTTTAGGGTTTAGGGTTTAGGGTTTAGGGTTTAGGGTTTAGGGTTTAGACGCATCCCATGTCTGTGCTTATGAGGCTCAATGTTTGCCTTTCAACTAAAGTAACAGATGATTGAGTGGACCGGGTTGAGGGTTCAACTTCGGGTACAGATTTGAGGGCTGGATAGGTTGCAGGGCCTATAGAATATACATTACGCTTCCACGTTTGGGGTTTTGGGGGATCGCTCGGAAATCGGATCCAGAAATTAACCCTAAACCCTAAACCCTAAACCCTAAACCCTAAACCCTAAACCCTAAACCCGGACAAAAAGAGCTTAGGGTTTAGGGATTAGTTGTTGGTGGTCTTCAGGCTTTCAGTGACAAGGGCTCCTTCCACAAGCTACTTTGCAAAGGACATCCCCACTCCCCAAGGCTGCATATACCTCTTGGGCCCTCAGACTACAAGATAGGAACCCCTTCAAGGCCCAAGTATATGCTACGTACACCCTAAACCCTGAACCCTAAACCCTAAACCCTAAACCCTAAACCCTAACAGACTCATCCCATTCTTCGAAGGGTCCTGGGATGGAAAATGGGATCTGCAGCTTCCATCGCGCCCGTCAAGCCTAGCCCTTAATCAAGGGACTAAGACAAGGGATTTGGGGTTTAGGGTTTAGGGTTTAGGGTTTAGGGTTTAGGGTTTAGGGTTTAGGGTTTAGGCTTTAGGGTTGCACATACTTAATTGGAGGATCGGGGCACTGAGTAAGTAGGGATATGCGTACCTTAATGGGGGCTACAAGTAGTTATAAGTACAGTTACATTGCTTATAATCCCTCTTACAAAGTCTCCGGAACCTTTAAGTAAGACAAGGCATTTAGGGTTTAGGGTTTAGGGTTTAGGGTTTAGGGTTTAGGGTTTAGGGTTTAGGGTTTAGGGTTTAGGGTTTAGGGTTTAGGGTTTAGGGTTTAGGGTTTAGGGTTTAGGGTTTAGGGTTTGGCGGTTAAGGGATTAAGACTCGCACACCGAAGGTGGTACCCCTAAAGTCCCTAAAGCTTCCCCATCGCAAAGCCCTCATATGGCCGTTCTGCTACCTTTAGGATGTTTAAACAGGAGTCCCCAAAACCCCAAGGGTACGGTCGAATGCACAACCCCTAGCCCGAAGCCCTAAACTCTACAAAACCTAAACCCTATGCATGGGGGGGTTTACGAAAATGAGGGACCCCCAAGATGGACCCCCATGCCCTCAATGATATGGGCCTCAATAAGGTACCCCGAGAACCCTAAACCTTAAACCCTAAACCCTAAACCCTTGTGGTGGTGCCTAGAGAACGAAAACTTGCTATGGGTTCAGGGTTTAAGGCTCAGGGTTTAGGGTTTAGGGTTTTGGGATGACCCCAAACCCTAAACCCTAAACCCTAAACCCTAAACCCTGGACCCTAGACCCTAAACCCTAGACCCTAGACCCTAAACCCTAAACCCTAAATCCTAAACCCTAAACCTAAACCCTAGTGTAGCCTGACCCTAAAGTGACAAGAGCCCACTGCAAGAACTCAGGGAAAGGGCTTTCTGAGTCCGCCTGGCACTCATCAAGATCACAGAGTTCACGAACAACGCCATAGAGTTTAGGGTTTAGGGTTTAGGGTAGCAGTTGCGGATTTGCGGCTAGAGCGGCATCCGGTCCAGTCGGAATCAGTGAAGCACTCTATCACGTCCTGTCCTGGGCACCTTGCACGTGTTCCGGCTTCCTGCTCAGCTTTGGTCATGGACAAATGACCATCCGGAAGTTGCATGCATGCGATTAGGGTTTGGGGTCTAGGGTCTAGGGTCTAGGGTGCAGGGTTTAGGGTTTAGGGTTTAGGGTTTAGGGTTTAGGGTTTAGGGTATCGCACCAAATCCCGCAACACTGACCGGCATGAATCTGTGGGGTTTGCAAGATGCTGGCTCAGGGTTTTGATTGCAAGTTGACACTGGGAATCCCGGCCCAGATGTACAGCAGGATTCCAAGCGCCGTGCGCTACTTCGCGGATGCAACGAGCCCAATAACCCTCAACTAAGGAATGCACCTGAATTCCTACTAAGGATCCCCAGAAAGTGTAAGGAATACTCCTTACTTAAGGGGTATTGGGCTCTTAGGGAATGCGTCAGTGCGCAAGCTGAGTGACTCCACCAGGTCAGGAATCGTAGGTCCCAAAACAAGGAAGGATGAGCAACCAACCAGCCCTTAGGGTTTAGGGTTTAGGGTTTAGGGTTTAGGGTTTGGGGTTTAGGGTTTAGGGTTTGGGGTTTGGGGTTTAGGGTTTCGGGATGCCCAGCTGAACAGATTGGGAAATTCAGGGGGGGGGGGGGGGGGGGGGGGGGGGGGACTGGGAAGAAAGTTAAGTTTAGGCCTTAAGGTTAAGGATCCTAAAAACCCAAACTAAACCCAGGTTCAGGATCTTCCAAACCCAGGAAACCCACCTAAATCCCTGACCCTAAGCAGCCCTAAACCCTAAACCCTAAACCCTAAACCCTAAACCCGAATTAAACCCTAAACCCTAAACCCTGAACCCTTAAACCCCCCCAACCCGAAAATGCTTCAGGCCGAAAGGCTGGAGCAAACCCATCTCCGCAGTTCTCACCTGCGTCCGCAACCATGAACTGGGCTTCAGATGCTTACAAAGACCTGAAGCCCTAAAGGGTTTCGGGTTCGGGTTTCGGAATTTAAGGGTTAGGTTTCGGGTTTCGGGTTTCGGGTTTCGGGCTTCAGATTTTTAGGTTCTAGTGTTCAGGGCTCCATGATGCGAACACCCAAACAAACATTAAACCCTCAACCCCAAACCCTACACCCTACACCCTTAACGTTGACGGATTCACCAGGGCAGCTGTGATTTCAAACATATTCGTTCCTTACCGAGAATTAGGCAACTAGTTGTCCTCCCATAGGAGTTGTGGACCCTCCCCCCCACCCCCACCCCCGCACTGCCCCCCCATAAGGAACAAGCCTGAATAAGCCTTTAGGCTTCGCATATTCTGGGTTTGGGGTTTCCTGGGCTGTAATCTCTCATATGGTCCCTGAACAGTCATGGGGTTACCTTTCAGAACCCCTTAAACTCTGAGTCTGAACCCTCGTAGACCACGAATTCGAAATCCCTAACAGGTTTAGGGTTTAGGGTTTGGGGTTTAGGGCTTAGGGTTTAGGGTTTGGGGTTTAGGGTTTAGGGTTTACAGCCCAGTCGCCGCTTCCTCAGCCGACTGAAGGGGCTCCGGGCACTCCCTCACGCGGGCCTAGCGGAAGGCTTGTGGCCAGGCATGCTGAGGGTACCCTAAACCCTGAACCCTAAACCCTTAACCCTAAACCCTAAACCCTAAACCCGGTTTCAGGGGTTAAGGGTTGGGTTTTAAAGTTGCAAGCGTTCGAGGGCTGTAGGGGGTTGAGGGCCTTTACAAGTCTGAGCTTTAAGGGTATTTCGAGGGGCTAAGGGATCCCGGGTTCAGGGTTTAGGGTTTAGGGTTTAAGGGTTGTTCAATCCTTCTCAGCGACCCAAAGAGCTCGGCTACACATTTCACAGCCATGACGGGGGACGATCATGCAAGTGTAGAGGATCCGAAGTGTGGGCCCTTCGTTTGGGTCCCCCGATATATCTAACCCTCATATCCACTAGACATAATGCGGGCCCATGCTTCGGATCCCTTTAAATCCCTTTAAACAAGGGTAAGGGGCCACACTATTACTAAGGGCCCATGGTTCCAACCTTAGAAAGTGTCGAGGGCCGAGGGACTTGGCGAGCTGCTTCGGGAAACAGACTTGCTGGACTCAAAATGCGACCCTCAGCCCTAAATCCTGAGCCCTCAGCCCCGAAACCCTAAGCACTCAACCCTAAACCCTAATCCTCCCTAATCCCTAAACCCTAAACCCTAAACCCCCCCCCCCCCCTGTCTGCTAGGGAGCCCAACCTGCGCGCCGTGCTCAGCCGAAGGCTCACCGGGCCCTGGGTTGCAAAATCTCCCATGTAAAGGGCTCTTAGGGTTTAGGGTTTAGGGCTAGGGTTTAGGGTTTAGGGCTTAGGGTTTCGGGTTTAGGGCTAGGGTGTAGGGTTTAGGGCTTAGGGCTTCGGGTTTAGGGTTGAGGGCTTAGGGTTTAGGGCGAATAAGGTTTACGGTTTGCAGCGTTTATTGTCGGGTCTTTCTATCGGCCTTGGTAGGGTTTAGGGGTTTTAAGGGTTTAAGGGATTACAGATTTGGGAGGTGCAGCGTGTGTTTTCAGAGGTTTAGGGTTTAGGGGTAGGTGATTCATGGGTTTTTTGGAGTGTTAAGAGTTTACTCGACACCCAAAAATCCTATGTGGACCCTAAGACCTAGGGTGCAAAGCCACACTGGATCACAGAGCAACGTGAGAATAGAAGGGTTTACGGTTTGGGGTTTAGGATTTAAGGTTAAGGTTTAGAGTTTACGGTTTAAGGATGGGGTGGAAAATTAGCGTGCTTTTCTTGGCCTACAGGGCTTTTCGAAACATAGCAAGAACTTTGTCAGAGGCACAGATCACCGATACCCCTCTTTCTGTTCCAACCGGCCGGCCACCTCCATGCACTCTGCTTTTTAGGCCAAGGCTGTGTCTACATGGTCTTCTTCCCGGAATTCCACGCTAAAGCCAGGAAGTCTACATGAAACCTTAGCAGCAGACTATATATATATATATATATACATATAGGGGATTCTCTGAAGTAGGCCTTTTTGTGCATTGCATAGATAAGGCTCCGTAGTAGAATAAGCACCCAAGAGAACCTCGCATGGATTGTTTGGGGCTTCGTACTTGAGAGCCTTGGGATGCAGTGAGACGCCTCCAAGAGCAAGCCAGCACGCGTTGATGGCGCCCTGGTGCTCAAACTCGCGCTCCTTTCGTTCCTCAGCTCGCCCCACGCAAACTTAAACCCCAAACCCCAAATCTTGGTAGCCCGGTAGCCATAGTATAATAAGGGTACCCGTTCTGATAATAAGGGTACCCTTTTTGGGGTTCTTGAACCTAACAAAGGTCAGGGATGCGAGTGGGCTTTCAAGAAACCTAACCTCACCGGATCCCCACTGCACCCACCCGACCTCCCCACGCCAGAATGCTCTTCTTATGGCGAGTCTTCTCCTACGTAGAGGACACGCCTAGACACGAAACCATACCTAGACCCGAGTGTAGGGTTTAGGGTTTAGGAATAACAAGGGTGCTACATCATTACTACGCTGGAGGCAGCGTGAGGACTTTTGCAGTTTAGGTCTTTAGTGCAGGCAAAAGCACCTTGAGGAATTAAAGCGCAACCTAAACCCTAACCCCTGAACCCTCGGGCTTGTACAAGAAAGTCCTCTGCCTCCATGGTCCATACAGTTACACGCAGAGTTACAAGGACCCTGAAATAAGTTCTAAGCATTCTTAGAGCTCAAGTGATACGTCCCTTATGATCTGTGTGGTGAGGGGGCCTTTTCCCCCCCCTTTGTAGGGCTGGATTGAGAGAAAGGGCCTTTGCGATTTGGGGTTTCGGGCCTTTTTTGTAGATCTGCCTCGGCTTGATGTGCAGGTCTAGGAGTGGAGGGTCTAGCAGGTCCAGCCCAAGTCTGCACCCCCTTACCCCTGAATCCTAACCCTAAAATCCAAACAGCAACAATAACCCAAGACTGCAACTCCTAAACCCTAAACCCTCAACCCTACACCCTGGAATAAGATTTGTGCTCTGAGTGTCGAAACCAACAGCCATCTCCCGAACCAGCTTCTCCTGAGCAGCTGTGGGGGCTTCCAATTGCCGAGGCAGGGGCTCAGGATTCCAGGCTTGACAGGGTTTAGGGTTTAGGGATGTTTAGGGTTTGGGAGTTTAGGGTTACGGTTTAGGGTTTAAGGCTTGGGGTTTGGGGTTTATGTTTACATGGTCCCTTAGTTTTTGTCCCCTTACCTTCTGTACAGACGTCTTATGTATGGGCCCTTAGCTAATAGGTTTTATAGAGTATAAAGCGGGGTGGTGCAGGACTCGGGGCTTGCTAGGGTTGAGGGCATTAGGTTTTAGAGTTTGGGGTTACTCCTCTGTCCACCCCTTTGACCAAGACTGGCCTGCCCACTCCCATCATCCGCGTCGTCGTAGCCATCATCTGCCCACTGGTCCTGGTCCTCATCGTCGACTTGCCAGGAACTCCTCAGCGCTGAAAGCAAGGCATCTACCATGTCGTCCCGGGTCTCCTTCCGTTTGCGCTTCTGAGCTCCAGTGCGCTTGTCTCGACCACCAGGTCAATTAGGGGGCCTTTTGCAATCCGACAGAATATTTTTTCCAGATCGGATCCGAGATGCGGGGAGGGAGGGGGGGGACGGGGGGAGAGGGGGGGGGAGTCGAGATCCCCGAACTCTAAACCACTAAACCAGTCGAGGAAGCCCAAGCCCCCATGTCAAGTTGGTGACCCCCCAAGCCCTCCACCTGCTTGTCAACCACAACTCCCAAGCTGCAGTCTCAATGAAACGGGGTTAGGGTTTGGTGTTTAGGGAAACTAACCTGCCTAACAGGCTCCACTCCATGGCAAAAGGAAGCAACTGCCCTGGCTGGGTAGCCGATGAGCGAGATGTCACGATCGTACACGGTTCGCTGCGCTCTTTCAGATTCCAAGTCACCTTGAGTGGATGGGCTATGAACCCTCTGCTGCGCAGTAGTACATCAGTACGCAGCGGAGCCATGTTGGTAAACCTGGAGACGAAATGCCCCATATCACTTAGTGCATACCTAACTCTCTTCCCGAAGGGCCCAAAAATCGAGAAGGACTATTTTCGGCTAAAGTTGGTACCCTAGACCCTAAACCCTAAACCCTAAAACCTTAAACCCTAAACCCTAAACCCTACGATACACAGTAGAAAGCGGGAAGAAGGGCAACGCTGCGGGGCAAGCCCAAGCGTTGAACCCCAAACCCTGAGGCCTATCACTCTAAAGCCCTAAGATGCCCGTGCAGGGTTTAGGGCTTGGGGCCTTAGGGTTTTAGGGTTTAGGGTTTTAGGGTTTTAGGGTTTTAGGGTTTTAGGGTCTTAGGGTTTTAGGGTTTTGGGGTTTTAGGGTTTTAGGGTTTAGGGTTCTGGCGCCCCAAAGCCTACAAAGTTCATGGGTCCAGTGGACTTCACTGACTATAGGTACGGCCTTGTACCCTGCTGAAAAGCTCACATGGAAACGCCCAAGCACCGTGCACCGCAAGCCCTAAACCCGAATACACAATAAACCCCATACCCTAGCAAGACAACGAAGCCTAGACCTAGAAACCACGCACGCTGAAACTTTGCCTTGGAACCAACACCTGTCCTTGAACCCCTAAGCGATTTGGGGGAACTCCGAACACAGGGGTACCCCTTTAGGGGTTCCAAGTATAAGGACTATGCCCAAACCCTAAAGTTCCTAAACCCTAAACCCTAAATAAGCCCAAAACCCTAAACCCTAAACCCTAAAACCCTAAAACCCTAATCCCTGAACACCTACGTTGGGAAAAACCCGATTTGGGGCTCGCAAGGTGCGGCTCCTTCCGTGGCTCGTTCCAGCCTGGCCGCGCCAGCTCCTCATCTTAGGCCATGCTTTATGCATGGGGTTTAGGGTTTAGGGTTTAGGGTTTCAGGGTTCAGGGTTTAGGGTTTAGGGCGAGACCGTAGATCCCAAACCCTAAGCCCTGAAACTGAAACCCTAAACCTTAAGGGCTTCGGGGTATGGCATCTCTGCCCCGAAGAGTAATCCACACTCAAAGGTGTATTCCCCTCATCTGGTTTTTGAGATACTTGGTTTTGGGGTTAGGGTCCAGGGATACTACCCTAAGACTCAAAACCCACTTCTTGTGAGTTATTACTCTAAAACCCCTTGCAGGATTCTTAGGTAACCTACACAAAAGTAGGTGTTGGGTTCAAAAGTAGGTTTTGGGTTCTTAAGGTACTTTGAACAAACACACCGAACCCCGAAGCCCGGACCCTAAACCCCGAATGCAACTAGGATGGCCCTTAAAACCCTCAAAACAGATATGCCTACATGTGCTCCTCTTGAACCCAATAAGGGAAATACACAACACGCAAGTGCCTGCTAGTACCTAGGCAAGGGTTTAGGGCTTTAGGGTCTAGGGTTTAGGGTAGGGTTTAAGGGTTAGGCACTATAGCCAAGTAGTCTTCATTTTAGGGTTTCGTGGTTCGGGTTGCGACTTAACCCTTTCCAAGTCATAAGCTAAGGTTTAGGGCTTAGGGTTAGGCCTTAACCCTATCCAAGTCTTAATTGCGCTGCTATGCTACACGTTGCTCGTAAGGATGTGTCACCTGCACACTCTGGTAGTTTACCCTAAACCCTAAACCCTAAACCCTATAGAACCTAGGGCAATCCAAGAGATCCCAGACGTCAGTCAGGGCATCCAAGCCTATGCCTTGCAGGTTCTTAGGGTTTAGGGTTTAGGGTTTAGGGTTTACAGTAGGTTTTAGAGTTTAGGGTTTAGGGTCTAGGGTAGGCGGTGGCCGCCTCCCCTGGCCTTCAGGCACGCGTCTGCCTTCCGGCCTCCTGGCTTTGCCGGCTGGGAGGCTAAGTACTCTTGGTAGGCCTGCTCAGCATCCGCCGGGATATCCACCCCCGTGCCGTCTAGCATTTTGCAGAAAGCAGCCTGCGAAACGCCGGTCAATGCGGGGTCATCTCTCACCACGTTACAGGCCATACCTGGACCCTTTTGAACGCCCGAGCTTCTCCACACATGCCCACGTCGGTCAGGCCGTCCCTCCAGTCCATGGTGAACGCGAACGCCTGCTGCGGCATGTGGGCACGAGCAGCGAAGTACTCACTGGTTCACTGGACCATTCCATCCTTCTGGCAGGCAGCAATAAGTAGGGTTTAGGGTTTAGGGCTTTAGGGTTTAGGACCTGGTGCAGAGTGCGCATCGTTCACCACCCCGTTGTTGACGAAACCGCCTGAACCTTCAAACCCTGAATCCTTCAAGGCTCCAAGCCTAAACCCTAAACCCTAAACCCTAAACCCTAAACCCTAAACCCTGAACCCTAAACCCTGAACCCTGAACCCTAAACCCTAAACCCTAAACCCTAAGCCCAAAGCCCAGCATCCTTCAGGGGCCTATATCAATGGACCTTATAGATGCCCACTTCAGAGCTTTAGGGGTCCTGGGCAGAGTCGGCCACTGGGGTCTTGCTTTGTTACCTACCCCAGTTTGACAGGCTCAAGTGCAGCCTTGATAGTTTAGTATGGGTTGGGATGCTCTCCCCTATACGAACGGTGATTAATAGGGATTATAATAGGGGGTACTACACTCCCTATTCAGGACTGCTAGTATTGGGGGGGGGGGGGGGGGAACATCCCAAAGTATGAGTATAGCTCATGCCCCTTGGTTGTGGTCCCATTGGCGCACTCTACTCTAGAGGGGGCCCTCCGATACAGTAACGGATGCCCAAAACCTTGGGGACGAAATGAACCCTCAAAATGGGGCCATATACCCTATGCTACTATAACTACCCCCATTAAGGTATATGAACCCCAAGCCCTTTTAGGGCTCATTTCGTCCCCAAGGAAGAGGATCTATGATCATCTAACCGAAGTCGACGAATTCACAGGCCTCTTGTCAGCCCACGCCCAAAACACCCCAAAAGTGCTTTGGTTGGTGTTTCATTTGGGTTTTGAGGTGTTTCAAGGTAGCCTTGAACCACTTAAACCCTAAACCCTAAACCCTAAACCCTAAACCCTAAACCTTAAACCCTAAACCCTAAACCCTCAGCCCGAAGCAACGATGCCTGTCGCAGAGCATGGGCTGCCTTGCCGAATCGCCGCGCAAGGGCCTTATGTCAATTGCTTTGGGCCAAGTTTGAGGGATGTTTAGGGTTTAGGGTTTAGGGTTTAGGGTTTAGGGGTGTAGGGTTTAGGGTTTAGGGCTCCTTGGTTTAGGGAGATTTAATTTATGATGGGGTTCTGCCAGCCGTAACCACTCTCTCAAGGCCAACACACAGAACCAGCCGTGGACAATCGAAAGCCCCGGCTACGGCCAGCTGTGGGTTGAGGTTTAGGGTTTAGGGTTTAGGGTTTAGGGTTTAGGGTTTAGGGTTTAGGGTTTTGGGTTTAGGGCTTCGGGTTTAGGGTTTTGTGGGAGTCATCGCATTCCCCTGAGCCCTGTATGCCCCAGCAGCTCAGATAAGTGCCAAGTCTGGGGGGGGGGGGGGTTCGGGTTTTCTGTAGCCCTAAACCCTAAACCCTAACCCCTAAACCCTGAACCCTGAACACTGAACCCTAAACCCTGAACCCTAAACCCTGAACCCTAAACAACAAGCGTCTGCGCGCCGAGCTGCAGGTGGGACGCAGAGCAGCGATGTCAACTCTTTGAGTTGGGTCTGCTGGTATCCTCAGCTTTGCTTTGGGAATTTCCCGGGGGGCTCCAACCACCCTAAACCCTAAACCCTAAACCCTAGCCCTAAACCCTAAACCCTAAACCCTAAACCACTCCATTATATTTGATAAATACTCGTCACTTCCTGGGCAAGGTCATGTTTCACCAGCGGGCAAAGGTCATATAAGAGCGGGCAGGGTCGCATGAAGGGCGGGCAAGGGAATTAGGGGTTTGGGGTTTAGGGTTTAGGGTTTAGGGTTTAGGGTTTAGGGATGTGAAGAGAGCCCCCTTAGGCTTTTAGGGTCCACAGCTTAGCGTTCCGGGTCGGGTTCAAGGTTTACGGCTTAGGGTTTGGGCTGTGTGTGAAGCTTTTTCATATCTGAACGGCATGGGATTCCCCGGGTGGGCGGGTACTTTTCGGCCGCCGGAAAAGCTGCCAAACTAGTGAATCCTTGGACTTGAGATACTGATCCCTAAACCCTAAACCCGAAACCCTAGACCCTAAACCCTAAACCCTAAACCCTAAACCCTAAACCCTAAACCCTAAACCCTAAACCCTAAACCCTAAACCCTAAACCCTAAACCCTAAACCCTAAACCTAAACCCTAAACCCTAATAAACCCTAAACCCTAACCCTAAACCTAAACCCCCCCCCCCCCCACCAAAAGAAAAAAAAAAACAAAACAACCCAACTCCCTAAACTCCCCCAACTCCCCCCCCCCCTTCTGAGGTCTGAGCCGCGGTTGGCCCTGGCAAGGTGGAGGAGATCCATCGGCTGGAGGCCACCGAGCCTTGGATGCAGAAGGGTTTAGGGTTTAGGGTTTGGGGTTTAGGGTTTAGGGTTTGGGGTTTGGGGTTTAGGGTTTAGGGTTTGGGGTTTGGGGTTTGGGGTTTTGGGGTTTAGGGTTTAGGGTTTGGGGTTTGGGGTTTGGGGGTGTAGGGTTCTAAGGTTTAGGGTTTAGGGTTTAGGGTTTTAGGGTTTTCGGGCTTAGGGTTTAGGGTTTAGGGTTTTAGGGATTCAGGATTTAGGGTTTAAGGGTTTTAGGGTTTAGGGTTTTAGGGTGTGCTTGGATGGCCCTTAATACCCTTCGAAAACATTCCGAAGTATGATCCTGTTACACCCAAAGAGGCAGAACAGAAACAACCCAAGGGCCCCTGCAGGGCTTCGGGGCTTTAGTTGGGGGGTTTTCGTGTTTAGGGATTTACGGGCTTTTGGGGTTTAGGGGCCTAGGGTTTAGGGGTTTTAAGGGGTTTGGGGTTTTAGATTTGGGAGTTTAGGGATTTTTGGGGTGTAGCGTTTTAGGGTTTAGGGTTTGTATACTGCCAAGATGCATAGGATACAAACTAGGAGATACTTAAAACTTAAAACATGTCACGCACTGCGGCTGCTTGGGCTACTCAAGGTACGGAGATGCGGTGCCGGATATCTCTCGCCACAACGCATATTGACGCCACAGGCGCCGTACAAGCAAGTGGGACTAAGGGTTTAGGGGTTGTGGGGCTGTTTAGGGTTTAGGGTTTAATTAGGGTTTAGGGCTAGGGTTTAGGGTTTAGGATTCAAGGGGTTCAGGGTTTGGAGTGTAGCAGGGTTTAAGGGCATCGGGAACTTCTGGAGAGGCTTGAGGAGGGGGAGGGGGTTAGGAGGCCTTAACAAACGAAAGTTAAGAAGGGCTTTAAGCGTGCGTGCAACCCTAAACCCTAAACCCGAAACCCTAAACCCTAAACCCTACTGCGCTGCCAAAGGGCACGAAGCGCAGCGTGGCATCGGGTAGCGAGGCCAAGGGCATGGCCCCCGAAACCCAAAAAAAAAAAACGAGTTTAGGGTCTAGGGTTTAGGGTGTAGTGTTTAGGGTTTAGGGTTGAGGGCCTGAACACTCAAGAAAAGCAATAAACCTTGTACAAACGCTATACAACCCGCCGAACTGGGTTTTAGGGTTTGGGGTTTAGGGTTTAGGGTTTGGGGTTTAGGGTTTAGGGTTTAGGGTTTAGGGAATCCCTACGAGCCCTAAACCTGCTTGCGAGGCCTTCTCCTCCCTCTGAAGTCAGGGAGGAGGGAGGGGCAAAAAGAGACGAAAAACAGTGGGTTTAGGGTTTAGGGTTTAGGGTTTAGGGTTTAGGGTTTAGGGTTTAGGGTTTAGGGTTTAGGGTTTAGGGTTTAGGGTTTAGGGTTTAGGGTTTAGGGTTTAGGGCTTCCCTCCACCCTTCTTCCC